TATTAGGATTTCTATACCAGCTTGCTTCTTGAGTTCATTTGATTAGAAAGTCTTTTCCCAGCCTTTTACTCTGAGTTAGTTTGAAGTTGAAGTGTGTTTCTTGCATGCAGCAGAAGGATGGATCCTGTTTTCATATCCATTCTGTTAACCTGTGTCTTTTTATAGGGTAATTGAGACTATTGATGTTAATGGATATTAATGACCAGTGATTGTTAATTCCTGTTATTTTTGGTGGTAGTGTTGTGTGTTTCCCTTCTCTGGTATTTGTTGGTGTGGGATTATCTATTGCCTGTGTTTTCATGGGTGTATCTGACTTCCTTAGGTTGGATTTTTCCTTTAGTGCTTTCTGTAGGACTGGATTTGTGGATAGGTATTGTTTAAATCTCGTTTTATCATGGAAATGTTTTCTTTACTCCATCTGTGGTGATTGAAAGTTTTGCTGATTATAATAGTCTAGGTTGGCATCCATGGTCTCTTAGTGTCTGCATAACACCTGTCCAGGGCCTTCTGGCTTTCAGAGTCTCCATTGAGAAGTCAGGTGTTATTCTGATGGGTCTGTCTTTATATGTTACTTGGTCTTTTTCTTTTGTAGCTCTTAATATTTTTTTCTTTATTCTGTATGTTTAGTGGTTTGATTATTATGTAGAGAGGGGACTTTTTTTATCCAGTCTATTTGGATCAAAAGCTTCTTGTATCTTCATAGGCATTTCCTTCTTTAGGTTGGGAAAGTTTTCTTCTATGATTTTGTTGAACATATTTTCTGTGCCTTTGAGCTGGTATCTTCTCCTTCTTCTATCCCTATTATTCTTAGGTTTGGTCTTTTCATGGTGCCCCAAATTTCCTGGATGTTTTGTGTTATGAGTTTGTTGGCTTTAGTGTTTTCTTTGACTGACCAATCTATTTCCTCTATCATATCTTCAATGCCAGAGATTCTCTCCTCCATCTCTTGCATTCTGTTGGTTAAGCTTGCATCTGTAGTTCCTGTTTGTTTACTCAGATTTTCCATTTCCAGCATTCCCTCAGTTTGTGTCTTCTTTATTGTCCCAGTTTCAGTTTTCAAATTGTGAACTGTTTCCTTCACCTGTTTAATTGCTTTTTCTTGGCTTTCTTTAAGGGATTTATTTATTTATTTCAATTTTTTGTTTGTCTTTTCCTCAATTTCTTTAAGGGAATTTTTCACTTCCTCTTTAAAGGCCTCCATCATCTTCTTAAAGTCATTTTTAAGGTCAAATTCTTCTGCTGCTTCTGCGTTGGGATGTTCAGGTCTTGCTGATGCAGAACCACTAGGTTCTGGTGGTATCATGTTGATCTTTATGTTGTTGACTATATTTTTGCACTGGTGTCTACCCATCTCTTCTTCCACTCAGTGCAAGCAGTGTCTGTGTCTGAGGGAGCCTCTCTTGGTCCGATTGATACTCTTGGTCCAATAGGAGTTCTTGGTCTAATGGGGGCTATTGGTCCAATCAGTGCTGATGGACTCTGTGTCTTAGGGAGCAGCTCTTAGTCCAATCAGTGCTGGCAGGCTCTTTCTCAGATAGCAGATGCAGTCTTGCAGGGTAGTGGATTGTGGGGAGGTGGAGCTTGTGGGTTGCAGGGTCTGGTAGGGGATGGTGGTATTCTGATCTGTCTTCAGGAGACCTGTCTGCTGGCCTGAAACTGGGACTGCAATGGGTGGTGGTGTGGGGGTGCAGGGTTGTGCCCCTGGGCCCAAAGCCTAGAGGCTGGGGTATTCGGCTATGAGAACTGACACTCACCTCTTAGTCCAATCAGCGCTGGTGGGTTCTCTGATTTTTTCACTTGTTTTGGTGGGGAGCACTGTTTGGTTTGGTTGGTTGGTCTTTTAGTTTAGATTTTTAATTGTTTTGAGACAAGGTTTTTCATGAGACCCATGCTTGGCATCGAAGTTACTATCAGAATAATCCTGGCCTCACAGAAAACTCTTGGAAGAGTTTGTGCAGAACTATTATTTGTATTTTCAATATTCAGTGGAATTCCCTGGCAAAGGCATTTGTGCCCCTGCATCCCTCTGTGAGATGTCCCACTGCTAGCTCATCCCTTTACTTGCTTTCTTCAGACAGCCCATGTCTCCAGATTTTCTATCTCTTATTGAGTCAGTTCCGTGCCATCCTTAGATTTTGTCCATTTTCTTTTTTTTAACAGTAAAAGCTTAGAGCTGGGCAGGGGTGGCACACACCTTTAATCCAAGCACTCAGGAGGCAGAGGCAGGTGGATCTCTTGTGAGTTCCAGGCCAGCCTGGTCTACAGAGTGACAACCAGGGGTATACAGTGGAACCCTGTCTTGAAAAACCAAATGGAAGGAAGGAAGGAAGGAAGGAAGGAAAAAAGAAAGAAAAAAAGCTGTCATTTGTCATAAAAGGCAAATACTACATAATCTCATGTATGTATGGAATGATGGGTATCAGTGAAAGGATTCTGTGTACGTGGAATCTTTAAGGATGTACGTGTATACGTGCGCGTCGACACATCAATACGTTACTCTATAACATGAGAACAACAGGAGGAGGGACAGCAGAAGGTGTAAAAGGAGACCAGCAATTGGGGCAGGGGCAAGGATGAGAGGCTTAGTGGGGTGCAATATGACCAAAGTAGGGTGATGTGCATGTGAAAAACTGTCAGGAAACCTATCATTTTATATGCTAACTAAAAATTAGTTAAAATATCAATAGGAAAAGAGGATACAAAGTTTCATTTCAGTTGGACAGAAGAAATAAGCTTTGAGATTTACTGTTTAAGGCCAATAACAAAATGCTGCATGTTTAAAACAGCCAAGGCTATAATCAATAATATACTCTTCAAAATAACCAAGAGTAAATTTTAACTGTCTTATCACAAAAATAAGCAAGCAAGGTGATGAATATGTTAACTTAATTGTCATTCTCCTTTGTAAACACACATTACACTGTACCCTAGAAATGTATATAATTTTGATTTTTCAGATAAAATAATAGTAATAAAAATTTTAAGAGAAAAGGGTATTTGATGATGATCTAGTTGTGCAAAACACTATCTCAAACTCTTTTAAATGCCTCATCATAAAGCCAAGGGCACACAGGCACAAGCAGGTTCTGAAATTGACAGACTTGGTTTTAATCTCAAACCCAGTGCCAGAAGCTCCACGGGCTTAGATACAAGTGCTGGCACCTCTACTCCATCCCTCTCATCTGCAAAGCATCACTCCCCAGAGCCTCTGAGGAGACCAAGGGCACATGGCACATACTGCTGACTTGGAAACACAGCAAGCAGTAAGCCAGCATCATCAGTCATTATTGTCATGGTTGTGTTAACATCAGATGCTCCTCATGTACTGAATCCGGGAGGGGCCACTTCCCAGCAGACATGGGTACAGTGCAATTTCTTCATGCTAAAACTAGTTATCTGAGCATAATATACTTTCTCGGAGAGTCAAAAGGTACATAAAGCAACCGCATGCCATGCAGTCATGTAAACCCAGAACTACGAGGCTGAGGCAGGAGGATGGTGACTTGAAGGCCAGCTTGGGATACACAGCTAGATCTCAAAATAATTATGGTTGCAAGATGGATAATAAAATTGCAAATATATGGAACCCTTTGGCCTAGTGCCCCACTTTTGACACACTAACTAACACACATGTGAAATAGCACTCGCTACTAAGATTCACTTTTAAGATTAAGACAAAGCCATTTTCCCCTCGAAAGGAATTTGTTAATAACATAGCCTGTGGCTTACTATACAGCTCTAGAAAGATTCCCGAAATGCATTCTGGAGTGAGAACAGCAAGGGAAGTGCTGCCACACCTTCAGGTAAAAATTACTGTCCACGTGTACACTCACGTCAGTGCACACTCATGTCAACCAACACCAGAATAGCCAGAAACCACTCACAGTGGCCACTTCAGGGAAGAACTGTGCCTCACAAGTTGCCTGGGCACTTTTAAAACTTTCATATATGTATAATGCACACATAAAAAAGCTGTATGTATAATAAATGTATTTAAACATGCATATACAAACTAAACATGAATGTATAATCAGACCCACATAATGAGTCATAATACTGTCAGCCCTGACACCACCTCAAGATTTCTCCCACCCATTCCCCACCCCATCAAGAGTTATCACTTCTGACGGGAGGCAGGCTCATTTTTTTCTACTGTTAACGCTTCATATAAACAGAACAAACATATACAGTGTACACGCTTCGGGGTCTGACTTGGCTTAATTTTCTCAAGAGTCACTGATTTTGTGAGTAGATGTGATCAGTTACTGCTCTGTGTGTGAAATCCACAGTGTGGCTCCAGCCCAGGCTGATGAGTGTGTGGATGTTTCCAGTGTGGAGCCGTTATCAATGGTAATTCTCTCAGCCTTCTTCCTATGTTTTACATGACCTTCTGGGTGTAAACCTAGACTGGAGCTGCCAGGTGGAAGGGCATACACACTCAGGTTAGGTAGCTATTGTCAAATAATCCCCCAAAGAGACTCTACTAATGGCCAGTGCCTGCCCTCAGTGGCTGTTCCACTTGGTCTGTATCCCTACAGACTTTGGCTCGTGCCTTTTCGGTTTCAGTCATCCTAGTGACGATGTAGTGACGTCACTCTGTCGCTCCCATTTATTTTTTTCTTGGTAACTAAAGGAACAACACTTGATTTTGTGAGGCCCTGGGGCAAAACACCAAGTCCTCTGAATCATGTAAAAGTGTTGACTGCTCAAAAGAGCATATAATATTTCAATTTTAAAGTCAGGACTCTAGGGTCCTCACTGCAAAGATCAACATGTGTGGGAAGGGGATGGTGAGCATGTATCTGTGTATACACGTGCAATGACTACCTGTGAGCATACTTAGCCCTTGTCACCTGTGGTAATGATGACATCTGACTGACAGATTTTTCCACATAGGCCCAACATCATGAAGGGAGCATGAAGACTCATGATGTTCACGGAAAACCAGTCCTGGCTCCTTAGTGGTACTTTCCCAAGCAACCCTCCTGCCATCTTCCTACCTCCGTCTCCTTCTGGGGGATGTAATTCAGGGAGCAGGCCTGGAGTTGTTTAGGAATTAAGAACCGGAACTTATTCTTTGTTTCAGTGGAGATCTTGATCCCACTGGATTGGAGTCTCTGGCCAACAAAGAAGCAGTAATCCTTGATGTCCCAGATCTAGGTACAAAGTGTGAGTTAGTGTCCCTGGCCCCAACCCCAGAGCATGTTGTGGGTTCTACCCACACTGTTCCTCTGAGCTTTGGGAGTGGTTCATTCTTACACCTCTGAGGTAAATAACTACTCACGACAGAGGAGCCATAGGGTCTTCTAAGCCAGACCCCCTTGGTTAGCAGGCAGAGGGGTTTTGAGTAGCTTAGATGGACAAGGCACTTGTGCCTCATGTCTCACAGAGTCAACTATGTGACAGCTGTTGACAGATGAGACACATGGCTGGCAGGTGTGGGAATTGTGGGGTGACAAGGATGGATAATAGGATCCACTGGCGGAGGGAGCTTGGACGGACCTTTTCAACAAGCCCTGACTCATTTCACTGACCATGGCAGATCAGGAGACTCCTAAATAAGTTATCTTGCCCCAACCCACCTCCTCCAGTGAAACCAGTACCCATTGGGAGCAGGAGGTAGCCAAGGGCTGCGTGCAGCACAGGGATGGCCAGAAGCTGGGATGGCTCCAGTCCTTCCTCACCTTGATCTTTCCTTTACTATCCCCTGTGATGAGGATCCAGTCGTTTTCATCAGTGGCCATGGCACCCACAAGAACATTCTCATCCTCTTCAAGGTCCACGGAGAACTTTCCCAGCAGACCTCCATTCCCGTGGACAGACCAGGCGTAGATAAAGCCATCAATGCAGCTGCTCAGCATAGCAGCTGTGTGTGGCAGGCGAGGCCTGGTCTGCAAAAAAATGATCTGCACAAGAGAGGTGGGCCTGGCTCAGCAGTGGCTTCATATGGCCATTGGCACACATTGCTAATGGATCCAGACAGGTCCCTACACCCAAACGGTGCCCCAGTCTCCCAAGATGCTCCTTGCTTCCTGGCACGAATTGAGGAACAACATACTGGTCTGTGAGGTATTTGAGCTATTAAGGCAGGGAATGGTATCTTTTTGTTGCTGTTAATCACTGCCCTCAGTGTCTACAGTGGCTCCTGATACCACACTATATGACCAGCAAATGTTTAAACGAAAAAAGACACATAAGTTTGCCTCACTCATCTCAAGCTTTCCAAGTCCTATTACTCTCTCAATGTGACACGGGGAAATAACTCATTCTCTCTTAAATGCATTTACAGCAAAATGTCCATGTGAAGGTCGGAGGACAAGTACGTTTGCCTACTGAGCCATCTCACCAGCCCAGCACCTTGAACTTTTTATCCTACTTTAGAAACTAGCAATATCGTCTTACTATAGTAGAAACTTTATTAAGTCTTCTAAAGAGACCTAATTAAGAATTAGTTTCTAGCTGGGCATGGTGGCACATCCCTTTAATCCCAGCACTCAGGAGGCAGAGACAGGTGGATCTCTGTGAGTTCAAGGTCAGCCTGGTCTACATAGTGAGTTCCAGGACAGTCGGAGCTATATAGTGAGACCCTATCTCAAAAAAAAAAAAAAAAGAATTAGTTTCTAAAAGAAGGTAATTACTATTCCTATTCCAAGCTGGCCTTTTTATTAAAAGTGATTTATTTATTCTTTGACAATTTCATACATGAATATAATGCATTTTGATCACATTCATACACACCCCAATTCCTCTCTCTTATGCTCCCCCCACTCCTTCTGGACCCCTTCTACTTCCCTACACACCTCCCTCCTACTTTTATATTTTTTTTAAGATAGCCCACTGAAGCCAGGTGTGGTAGCACACACTCTCGGGAGGCAGAGGCAGGCAGAGCTCTACCAGTTTGAGGCCAGCCTAGTCTACCTAGTGAATTACAGGCCAGCCAGAGCTACATAGAGAAATGCTGCCCCAGGGGTGGGGAGAGGTGGGGGGCGGGGGAGACAGAAAGAGATAACCCATTGAGTTAAATTGAGGTTTCTTGCATGTCTATGGGTGTGAGGTTATTTACTGACCAGCACTAAAAGTCTTGAGTATCCTGTTTATCACAGAAGTCCTAAACAAGATGTTCAGCCCTCTTCCCATTGATTCAGGTGCCAGGATCAAAAGAAACAGAAATCCTTTAGACCCTGAATCTGAGGTGAATTCTATCGAACATTTAAGGAATTAGCAATACCAGTCCTTCTCAAACCTCACAGAAGAAGAGGATGAGAACGAGAAGACTGGAGAAGAGGAGGCAGGAACGTTTCCAAATGCACTCTATGAAGCCAGTATTTCTCTGATACCAACACCAGACAAAACTCCACAAGAAAGCTACAACCAGATAGCTTTAGTAAACACTGATGAAAAAAAAAAAAAGAACCCTCGACAAAATGTTAGCCAACTAAATTCAGCAGCATATTAAAAGGGTAATACACCATGACCAGATGAGATTTATTCCTGAAATTGAAGGATAATTCCCCAATCAAAAAAACCAACCAGCATACTGGGGTAGAGCTCATTGGTAGATCACATGCATATATGAGGACCTAAATTTAGACAATAAATCAATATTTTACATTAACAGAGGAAGGAGAAAACATACACTCATCTCACATGATTCATTACACATTGATTCAGAAAAATCACCTGAAAAAAAAAGTTGACATCCTTTTATCATGAAAATAATGAGCAAACAATGAATGGAGAATAGTTTTCTGGAAGGAGGAGGGCATTTTCTTCAGTGGTGTAGCCACTGGCAGGGTGTCCTGTAAGCAGACTCACCCCTGCTTCTGTACACAACCCTAAGGAAACTCACTAGGAGAAAAGTTAAGACATGAAATAAAAAAATAAAAATAAAAAACAGCAATTGAACAAACAGGGAGAATGACCAACAAAGTTGCCAGGACCAAAAAAAACCCTCTCAATAATAATAATGACCCCACCATTTCCCAGGAACCTGGGTATGGACCTGGCCATTTCCCATCCACATGGCCAGTATTTTATTAAAGCTTGCCTCAAATTTGGCTTTAAAAAAAGTAAATAAATAAATAAAATAAATTTTAAAAAATAATAATAATGACCCTAAGTGTAAATAGTCTTGGACTGGAGAGATGGCTCGGCAGCTAAGAGCACTTACTGTTCTTCCCAAGCTCAGTTCCCAGCATCTACATCAGGTGGCTCAGAGCTGTCTGTAACTCCAGCTCCAGGGGATCAGGAAGACACCTTTCCTGACCTGTGCAGGCATACACACAAGAAGCATACATTCACACAAACACATACACATTAATAAGAAAATAAAAATCAATAAAAATATAAATAGTATTAACTTTCCAATTAAATTAGGTGAAAAACAAGATCCAACTCTATTTCTTTCTTTATTTATTTGCTTTTGGTCTACAAGAACCATCTCACTGACAAAGACAGAGAGAGTCTGAAAGTGAGAGGATGTGTGGTTGTTTGAAAGAAAATGGCCTCCAAAGGGAATGGCACTATTAGGAGATGTGGCCTTGTTGGAGGAAGTGTGTCACTGTGGGGGCAGGCTCTGAGGTCTCTTTTGCTCAAGCTTCCCTTGGTGTGACTGTTCAGTAGACTTCCTGTTGCCTGCAAGATGTAGGACTCTCAGCTCCAGCATCATATCTGCCTGCATGCCACTGTCACCATGATGAGAATGGATTGAACCTCTGAAACTGTAAGTGAACCACCCTAATTAAATGTTTCCCTTATAAGAGTTGCCATGGTCATGGTGTCTCTTCACAGCAATAAAAACCTTAACTAAGACAGCATGGAAATCAAAATGCCAAGCACATGGAAGCCCAAAATATGTAGGAACACTAGACTCCTATGTGATAAGGCAGATTTCAAAACAAAACCAGTTAGAAGAGACAAAAAGCTCACTTTGTATTATTATTAAAGAGGATAGTCTACCAAAAAAATACAATTGCAAACATATATGCAACAAACACCTAATTTCCATAAAACAAACACTACTGGATATAAGAGACAGACAGGTCTAGATACAATCATAACTCTCATCAACAGGTAGAGAAGACAAAAAATATCAACAAAGAAACTTCAGAGTTAATCTAAACCATAGCTCAAATGGACATAATCGGTACCTAAAAAATATTTCACTCAGCTGCTGTAGATCATGTTTATGCTGTAGATCATAAAGCAAGTTTTAACTAAGACCAAAACACTTCTTTATTTTTCTTATCAGATCATAGTGGAATAAACATACCAATCAATATCAAGAGAAAGGCTGGACATGGTGTTGAACATCTTTAATCCCAGCACTCAGGAGACAGACACAGGTGGATGAGTTCAAGGCCAGACTGGTCTACGTAGCAAGTTCCAGGCCAGTCTGTTGGCTGTATTTATGCTCTACTGTTAGCTTTTTTGCCATGAAGAAGCTTTTTACTATCATGTAATCCCATTTGTCAATTCTTGGGGTTATTCCCTGTGCTGCTGGGGTTGGCTTCAGAAAGTTCTTGCCTATGGTTATATATCTTGAAGCCTTTACCTATGCTTTGCTCTATCAGTTTCAACATTTTTATTTTAAAGTCTCTGATCCACTTTGAATTGGTTATTGTGTGTAGTTAGAGACATGGATCTAATTTCATGCTTCTGTAGCACAGATTTCCATTTTGGTCAGCATCATTTATTGAAAAGGTTATCTTTTTTTTTCAGTATACCTTTGATGTTCTGTCAACATTTAGGTGTCCACAGTTGTGTGGGTATATTTATTATCAACTTGACACAAGCTAGAGTTATTCAGGGAAAGGAATCTCAGTTGAATTGAGAAAATGCTCTATCAGACTGCCTATAGGCATGTGGGGCATTTTCTTGATTAAAGCTTGATACTAGAGGGCCCAGACCACTGTGGGTAGTACCACCCGTGGGCAGTTGGTCCTGGATTGTGTAAGAAAGCAGGATGAGGGGGGCTGGAGAGATGGCTCAGAGATTAAGAGAATTGGCTGTTCTTCAAGAGAAACTGAGTTCAATTCCCAGCAACCACATGGTGGCTCACAACCATCTATAAAGAGATCTGATGCCCTCTTCTGGTGCACAGTCAAACGTGCAGACAGAACATTGTACACATAATAAATAAAACAAATATTAAAAAAATAAGAAAGAAAAGAAGGAAGGGAGGGAAGGAGGAAGGGAGGGAGGGAGGGAGGGAGGAAGGAAGGAAGGAAGAAAGGAAGGAAGGAAGGAAGGAAGGAAGGAAGGAAGGAAGGAAGGAAGGATGAGTAAGCCCTAAGGAGCACTCCTCCATGATCTCTGCTTCAGTTCTTGACTCCAGGTTCCTGTCCTGTTTTCCTTCAATGATGGAGTGTGACCTGAAAGTTGTAAGATAAATAAACCCTTTCTTCCCTGTGGTAGTTTGAATGAAAAATGGTCATAGGCTCATAGAGAGCACACTATTAGGAGGTGTGGGCCTTGTTGGAGTAGGTGTGGCCTTGTTGGAAGAAGTGTGTCACTGAAGGTGGGCTTTGAGGTTACAGATGCTCAAGCCAGGCCTAGTGTCACTCTCTCTTCCTGCTGCCTTCAGATCCAGATGTAGAACTCTCTGCTACCTCTCCAGCACCCTATCTGACTGCATACCACCATCCTTCCTAACATGGTGGCAATGGACTAAACCTCTGAACTGTAAGCCAGCCCCAATTTAAAGTTTTTCTTTACAAGAGTTGCTGTAGTCAGAGTGTCTCTTCACAGCAATAGAAACCCTAAAACTCTACAAGTTGCTTTTAGTCATGATGTTTTATCACAGCATCAGAGAACTAAGACAGTTAAGTATTGTGATATCTCTGGCAGTATTTTCTTCTTAGGATTGCTTTGGCCATCCATAATCTTCTGTGTTTATATATGAATT